AGCCTTCTGTAGGGCCAGAGATGTTTCCACAGAGAGCCCCTATCTTACATATAAGAACCCCTTTCACCTTTGTTCAGATTGTCCCACCATGTTGCTGCCTTTAAAAAAAAATGTGTTTTATATATAACCTAGCTTATGTCCCTATAAAGTCCATTTGTAACGACTCCCTCGTGAGCTTAGCCAAAGTATGTCTAGACAATTTTTTCTGGCCTTCCCTCCCAAAACTCTTTGGGTTAAAAATAGGGAAGGATTTGTTTTAAAACAGTGTTGCATTGTATCTTTAACCTTTTGTCCAAACGCAGGTTGCCCGTTGAAGTTTTATTTAGAGAAAGCGTGTAACTTATGAACCAGCTCCCTCAGACCTCGGGACGGCCCCTGGCCGGCCTTCCTGCTGCCGGTGCATTAGCCGTGTCTCCAGAGGTGTTTTACAGGAAGCTTAGACGGAGGGAAGCACTTAATTATTATCCAAATTTTTCCTTTCAGTTAAGTCTTACGGTAAGATATCCCAGAGATTATATTTTTAGCAACCGCTTTAAAGAGACTGGGGAGATTAATTTAAAATTGATAATCGCATGGCAGCACCACAGCTTAACAAGCTCAAGGTCTGCCTCGTGGAGCTGGCTGCTCTCGGGGGACTCTGGTTCAATTCTCTTTGCTGCCAGTTGAAATCAGGAATCACAACTGCAGTGATTAGCAGTGAATTCCCTGATCTCCGGGCCCCAGGCAGAGAGAGAGGGAGGCTGTTTTCTTGGTAGCCAGTGGTTAACCCCTTTGTGGGAAGGCTGAGAAGCAGAGGAAAGGCTTCACAGCTGTGGGGTGAGGCCTAGTCATCTATATCTTTTACTGCCCAGGCAGTTCCGAGCATCATCGGGTGTGGAAGCCACTGCTCTGCGGCAGGTGACGGTGACCAGTGGAAGAAAGAGCCTCTTGGCTCAGTCCGAGGCACTCGGTAGCCACCTTGAGCGCTGACACCTGGACCTGCCTGGCTCAGAAGGCCTCCAAAGGCCTCCAGAGGCCCCTGCTTCCATGGCTGCCGAGACCTGTGTCAAGCTGGGAGAACTTGCTTTGGAGAAGGAGGCAGAAAAGCCTGCTTTCTGCCCCTCTTGCAGCTTGTGTTTTTAAAAATGGCCTCTGGCTACCAAGTGGACGATTACGGATAGTATCGTAGAGCAGCAGTAAGCAGTGTTAATGAGCTGCAGGGTATCGGACACAAAAAAAGAAAATATTTTCCCTGAGGGCCAAACAAAATTAATTTAAAAAATTAACGCAAACCACTAATGCTGCCAGTGCATCCATTAAATTATGGGACTGTGACATGTACAGTGCTATATTTTTGCCATTGAATTTGTTATCTAAGAGGTATTCATTGTTTGTTACAGTGTGAAAAGCTGTTTTCCTCCAGATAAGCTTGTTCATTAGTAAACTGGATCCCTGCCACCACCCCGATTCTTCGCACTGAAGTAATGCCTTGTAGCGTAAATGCAGACAGCCGCTCTGCATTTAATATCAGAAATGGAAATCAAAAGCGGCCAGCCTGGTTTGAAATGGCTTCAGTCTTTCCCGGGACGAAATCTGTGGAAAGAAATTCTTCTCTCTGCTGCTTCTGACACCACTGCTTCGGCAGACAGGCCCTGAAAGAGACTGATAATTATTAAACAAAGTATCTTGTTTCCCACTGAGGTCTCCAGATCGCTCTGTCATTAGACTGGATTTATTTCTAGGGTTTCATTCATGCTGTGACAGCTGGGGATTGATAAGTCCTGTGTTTTAATTTCAGGCAGAAATGAAACTGGTCAAATGCAATTTGGGAGAGGAAGAGCCCTTGATAAGACGACTGTGCATCTTAATGCCTAGACACAGAGCCAGAATAAGGAAGGCATCTTAGTGTGGGGTGGGGCGGTGGGGGGGCAGGCTGAGCCTTCAGCCAAAGCAGACAGCACACCAGAGCCGGGCCTGGGAGGCAGGACAGAGGCAGGCCAGGAGAACCGTGTCAGTGCAGTCGCAGAGCACCCCTCAAGTGTCAGGTCCCGGATCCAGGTTTGGGAGTACCGTGGCAGGGCGTGTGCTGTGGCGGTGACTGCAGGCTTTGCTGTTTTCCTGGGCTCCGTGGTCCTCATTTCACAGGGCGTAGCGCTGGCCCAGCCCAACCTGAAGTGTGTGTAGGTTCTCGTCGCACATCTACACTCGGTTCCTCAAGGTGCTGAGTAAGCTCAGGGCCTGTGTTTTTCTTTTTCAAAGGGAAGCCAGAATTACTTCTCTGAATTTTTTTTTTGAAGGGGGGCCTCCTATTTACCTACTGAGCAAATACCGAATTCAGCACTGTTTCACATCTGAGGGGTGCATCGGTCACCAGCAGAGAGCGGAGAGAAAACCTGATTAGCAATAAGCTCATTTCCGCAGAAACAGGGTAATTAAGATGCTGCGTGGAAAAGTGGTGGAGAGCCCTGACCTGTCAGCTTTTGGGGGTCTTGCAGGGGGCACCCTGTCCTTGCCCTGATGTGGAAACAGCTGGACTGACTGACTCGCAGGAAGGGTGCTCAGGTCCTCCTAGGGCTCTGTGTCTTCCACGGGGATGCTGGTGTCTTACTGGGTCAGAGCACTCCCTACACAGGCCCATAACGGAGCAGCAGGTAGGAGGACGGTCAGGACGAAACCCTGCCTCCTCCTCCAGACTCTCCATTTCACTAATGAGGAAACTGGGGTTCTCAGTGATGACTTGCTGCTTAAAAAAAAAAGGCGCAAACTAATTCATTCAGAGAAGCCCAGCAGGTACTTGTGGCCAAAGGCTTCTAACCGGAAGTGCTAATCACATATATTAAAGCAGCAGCTCATCTGCCATCACTAAGATGGCCGTGTGTCCTGGTTTGCCGGGGACAGTCCTAACGTATGCGTGGTGGTGTTCTAACGGCACCCTCTTTCATGCTTCAAAGCATCCTAGTTTGAGTGCTACGTGGTATGGTCACCCTCACTATCACCCACAGCCTAGCCAGTTTGTTCAAGGCGAGTCACAAACCCACTGGGCCCAGTGAATCAGAATCTCTTGTTTACGAGTTGTAGAAGGATAAATACTGAACAAAACCAATGAAATAAGGTTTAAAAACATGCAGAGCAACACCACATGTTGCATTTATATACCTATAGAGCAAAAGTATAAATACCATACTATGCATAGTAAACATCAAATGAGCGATAGCATCTCCCTGTGAGGAGGTGTTTGAAATATATATTTCTTAAGCTGGATGGTGGCTCTGTAGGTTTTTCTTACATCTATTCTTATATTACCCTCTACTTTTCCATAGGCAGAAATATTTTATAATTTAAAAATAAGTTTTAAAACCTTTCAAGATAATTCGGATGAGACCAGAGGAGATCATTGCATTCAGGCCTGGGGGCGTGTGAGTGCGGGGGAGATTATACTTGGGGTCAGGCATCTCAAGAGTTGCTGTCGGCCCCTAGAGCTGACCTTACTGCGAACCTGATTAAGCTGTGCATTCTACCTCAAGGACAGTGCTGACAGACAGGGTCTCCGGGAAGAGGCAGTGTGACCGGCACAGGCTGCCTGCCCAGGACCTGGCATCGATGTTCCTAGTACTCAGACTAAGGGCTGCACCCCAGAATCTAGCAGGAGAAACCTGGCTATTTGCGTCGCGGGCGGATTTGCCTCCATCGACTCTGCTGTTCGGTCACATCTAGTTCACAGGTTGATATTTACTGTTGTGTCCTTGAGGCCAGCTCTTGCCCATAGATTTTTCATAATTCCTCTATTTCCTTCTCAGTCCAACCAGCACAATAAGTCAGGTCCTTTCTCCCCACCACCTACAGCAAAGAAGAAGGAGCACAAAGAGAAAGGCGGGTCTCAGGGAAAGCCTTCGGGTGAGGGTGCGGGGGTCACAGGCCTTCAGGTGAGGGTCCAGGGGTCACAGGCCTTCAGGTGAGGGTCCAGGGGTCACAGGCCTTCACGTGAGGGTCC